CCCTAGAACATGCAGAGCCCCGAGGCCAAGCCCCGACCTGAGCCTGAGCCCTGTCCGTGGTCCAAGAAGGTGGCAGTTCTAGACTGTCTCCATGGGGGGACAGAGTAGAGAGTATCTCGGGAGCCGGGACAGCCAGCAAGGAAGGCAGGTCCTCCCTAGGGGCCCGCCAAGCCAAAGCTTAGAGTTGGAGGTGTGGTTTGTCCCTCTGCTAAATGAATATGCCTTAGCCCCTCCCCGGGCAGAGACCTCTCCTCCTGCCCCTGGCTGCAACCCCAACTGGGCAAGTAGGCAGCGATATGAGGTCCCTCTGGGTGGGGAGCCTGCCTTGGAGCTGGGTACAGAAAGGAGGGCATTCTTTTTCAAGGATTTTGCTGGCCCCCTTTTTTTTTCTCTGAAATATAAGGATGTGCAATTTTTTTGGTTTCAATTTAGCATTGGAGAATTTTATAATTTAGTAATTAAAATCTCTGATAGGCTTTAGAAATTGCGGCTAATTGAATTTAATGGGAAGATGATTTTCAATTTTATTTGATTACCGGGACCCCTGGCATCGGTATTTATGGGAAAAAAATGGGAAATGTGCTGTGTGGGCTAAGATGGCATAATTGAATTAGGGATAATCGGATTTCTCCGTCATGAATTTCACTATAATTTTCCTATAATTTTCCATTAGATATCTAGTTTACAAATATTCACAAAGAAATGAAGCTCTTTCGGAATGGAGATTGCTGGCTAACAGGATTACGGGGCCGAGCGCGCGGCTGTGCCAGCCCCTACATGGGCCATAATGCGATCCCTGTATCTGCCTTATACTTAGCCTGAGCCTGGCCTCGGCCCCTCACTCCACCACCCACTCCCCTGCTCCTCTCGGCCCTTTGCACCTTCTCCATCCCTGTGTGCCCCCTGCCCGGACACCCACCCATCCCTGGCCCATGGCCTCTTGCGGCCTGGCGGACCGTCCCGTGCCACAATGTTTCCTGCCCACACTTTGCTCACTCGATGCTCTCCCTGATACCCTCCCTCTGTCAGCCCAAGCAGTGCGCTCACACGCAAACACACGGACTCCATCGCAGGTGCGAACATGCTTGTTCACATGCACACACAGCCCTTTGGCCAAGACTTCCGTGCCCTGGCCCAGTCGCCTCGGAGGGAACCAGTTTATTGGGATCCTGGGGTGGGGTGCAGGAACAAAAGGAGCTTTGTTCAAGTTTATGTGAAAGTTACAAATTCAGAATGAGAGCAGATAAAGCCTGAGATACCTGGTGTGTAAACAGGCTGGTGAGTGAGAAGGCCCCGGGCTCGGGAGGGATAGAGAATGAGTGGGCGTGCTCTGGGGGTGTGAGGGGACCAGGAGCCAAGTGTGGAAGCCGTCCTGGGGAGAGCTGACGGTTTTTCCTGGACTCGTGTGAGGGGCCCGGTGGCTGGGATTTGCCGTGCACAGCTCCGCGTCTTCTCTTGGGGATGGGATGGAGTGCGTGAGGAGGAGCTGGGGCCTCGAGACTGGGAGGAATTGAGGCATTGGGCTTTCCGTGACCTGAGTCCTGGGCACAAATGTCCTCACTGTGGCCTGGCCTTAGGGTCTAAGAGGTGTCCCCTCATCGGGGTCCTCAAGGCAAAAATGAGCCATAGCCTCAGAGATGGCAGAGCTCTGGGCCTCTCCCCTTCCTACAAGCGCACATCCAAAGAGAAAGAAAGAGGGAGAAGTCTGGGGACCCCTCCATTATGCAGCCTCTGACTCACACCTCATGACCTCGATGCCTCAGCCTTCTTCTCAGACTTTCTTAAATCATAACACACCAAGATGGCCTCATTCTCTGGGCCTCTCTGGCCTGTCCTCTGCTCTTGGGTGAGGCCTCTTAAGCCTGTAGTGGCTGATTGCGCCTGTCGCCTTGGCAGAACAGAGGCTCTTCGGGCCGCCCACACCCCCCTCCACCACTGTGCCTGATGGGTGCCTCCAGCTTTTGTCCATCAGAGGCCCCAAAGTCGCTGCGCAGCCAACCCTCTTGGCCTTGCCTAGGTAACTGGAAGTTACGCCCTCCCACGCCCCAACCACCAGCAGCAGAAGCCCAGAAGGATGCTTAGACACAGCCAGGAGGTCGTGTGGGTCACATATGCAGGGGGCCTCCCATACGTGCATCATCAAATAAACCCAGAAATCATCCCTCCACTCCTCTGTGACTCTTACTCTGCCTCACCCCAGTTGCCCAGGACTGGGGTTCGGGACCGAGTGCCTGTTGTTACAACCCAAAGCCGTAAGCCTTGCTTTGGAGAGTCGTGGGTGAGAGCAGCCAGAGGCCTGTGTATACTCTGGAGTAGTCCTGGACACGGAGTCCTCTCTGAGATCCTGCGTGGGGAGCAGAGCTCACAGTCTTCTGTGCGTGATTGCCCTATACCCATGCTTGTCCTGGTCTCCGGATAGCATAAGGCTTGGTTATTCAGGGTTTTAAGGACAGGGGACTGTCAGCAAAGTGTCTGGGCCTCTCTAGTTACTTTTCCTACATAGGAACAGGGCAGGCGTGAAGGGTAGAGGGTTGCATGTGGCAACCAGGAAAGGGGCTTGCCAAGAAGGCATCAGGGAAGGCAGTCAAATAGGGAGGAGATGCTAACTCCCTGTGAAGCCATTTGGAACCTAAAAAAAAAAAAAAAAAAAAAAAAAAACTAAGAAAAATAAGGGGAAAGTGGGAGAACAAGTAGATTGGTTAGTCTCTGACTTCTTTGCCCCAAGGTTTCCCTGGGCCTCTCCTTTTGCAAAATAGAAATATTGCAACAATAGGCCAGTGCCATTTTGCTGAATGCTGCCCAAAGACCAGAGAAAACCCAGGGTCTAGTCCCTTGCCCTAATTGGAGGCAGTGTGGCCTTTCCTAAAACAGGAGGAGAGGAAGGTGGCAGCGTGGAGACACAAGTGACAAAGAGCTTGTGACAGTGAGATCTAGGTACTGTACTAGCAAAGCTGCCCATGTTCTTGCTCACCTGACTGCCTCCTTCCTGAGCGCCCCCCCACCCCGCCACGTCCATTGGGTAACTTGGATCACTAAAATTTAAGGAATTTGGGTAACTTGGATCACTAAAATTTAAGGAATTTCAACGTATCTGGCCCTAGCAGGGATGTCTGGGCACAGAGAGACCCACCAAAGTACTTTCTCTGAGAGAAAAGGAGGAGGGCCAAAGAGAGCACAGGAACCCTTGTCCAGAGATGAAATGGCAGACAGGAAATGCGGCCATTGCCGAGGGTCAGGTGGCAGGAGGCTAGTTTGCCGAGGGTCAGGTGGCAGGAGGCTGGTTCCTTGGTTCAAGGGTGGCTTTCCCCTCCATGCCAAGGTTCTTAATGAGGCAAGAGGGTGGGAGGGAAGCCCAATTGATGTCAAGGATCTGTGGTGGGAGCTTGGACTGCAGGCTGCCCAGCGGAGTGAGGTACTGGCTGCCCTCGGGGCCCCATTGCAGGGCTGGGGGGCCGAATTGGGGCCGAGGAGGAGGAGAAAGACCCCGGGCGGAGAGCAGGGATATTTAGGCGGCCTGGGTAGGCACAGTTGGCAGGGCTCTAGCGCTCATTTCAAGGGACAGCCAAGCCCAAGTGGCGGAAGCTAGGGGTCCTGGCTCTCCTTGGAACCTGCTGCAGATGGCAGGCAGAGCTGCGCGAGGCCAAAGCGCGTGTCCTCTCCCCCTTCCCGCCCCCCACCCCGCCAGGCCCACCTCCCGGTAGCCTCCTTGCGACCAAAGAGCCCGGCCACCACCCCCACCATGAGAGTCGGGTAGGAGGGGAAACACAAGCCCTGGTACCGCCTCACCTAGAGCCCACAGGGCGCTCGAGAGGGAGCACGGGGGCGCGCGACCGAGCAGGCGCGACCCCGAGGCGCTCACACCTGCGTCCGCCCTCGCGGAAAAGTTTGCGCGGCCGCTCGCCCCGCGAGCCTTGGGCCTGCCGGCGCCCGGAGCGAGTCCGCGCGCGGCCGCCGTCGAGGGGCGCGCGCGGGGCCGGGACCCGGGCGCGCGAGCCCGCCGTTGTCCGGCCAGAGTTGGCGCGGGGACGCGAGCGCCGCCCGCCTCGCCCCTGCCGCCCGGGTCCGCGCGCCGAGTCCCCGCCTCCCTACTCCCGAAGTCTAAGGTTTGGGGAATCACTGAACCAATGAGGCGGGCCGCCCGAGCGGGTGTGCGGAGCCGCCCGCGAGCGCGCACGCGGCGGGGCGCGCGTGCGGCGCGGCCGGCGGACGGGCGAGCGCGCGCCCATTCACTCCAGCACCGCGGCGGGCGGGCGGGCGCGCGCGCGGGCGGGCCGAGCTCTGCTCTTTCACCTGCCGGGGCGGCGCGGCTCGGCCCGGAGGAGGCGGCGCCGCGGCCGCCCTGCCAATCACCTCGGCGCCTGGCAGCGCCCCCGGCCGCTCCCGCCCGCCCGCTCCCTCCTGCCAAACTGTTACCCTGAGTGTTACCGTCAGGAGCAATGACATCAGGGCTTTAAAACAACTTGTTATTCGGGGAGTAATCAGTTGCAATTAGGCATTAATTAAGTATTATGAAAGTTGATTATTTAAGTGAATTCGGCTTTCGACTCTCCGACTATGGTGAGTACGGCAGTGGGGCGGGGGAGGGCAGGGGGCGCAGCCGCGGGGCTCGACCCCGGCGCGGGCGGGGGGCGCGGGCGGGGCCGGGACGGGACGGGCGCAGGCGGGGGGCCCCCCCTCGGCCTCTCGGGCAGCTCGGGCCCCCCGACCCGGGCCGCGTCTATAAATAGTTTCTCTTTTAGTTTAATAAACTCGAGAGCCGAGAGGAGCTGCTCCGAGTGTGCAATGCCGGAGCGTGAGAGCGACGGGGGAGGGAGGGAGGGAGAAACTTTCGCTCTCCCTCCCGGGTCCCCCTGTCACTGCCGTTCGGGTCCCGGGGACTCGTCCGGCCCTCGCTGGGGGTTGCGGCGAGCGGAGGGGGGCGGGAGAGGGGCGGCGGGGGCCACTGCGAGAGACTAAACAGATGTTTTTTCTTTCCCTTCTGTTTTTGGCGTTCCTCGAAGAGTTTGGGACCAAAGAGAGGAGAATGGATCTTGGTACAGGTACCGGCGGTGGGAACGAGGGGAGGCTCTTTCACTTTTCTTTCGGTTCTTTTACGGAAGTTAGTATTTTTAGCCCAATGAAGTAGCAGCTGAGCAGGGGGTGGGGGCTGGCCTGGAGAGGGTCCGGCGCCCGCTGCGCTTCTCGCCCTGGTTTCTGGATTGCGAGGCTTCGGATGATATTATTGTTATTATTTGTTACTTGCTTAGTGACTGTGACTAATTTGATGCTTGTCATTATGAAAGAAGAGAGGGGAGAGGGAGCTGGGGGGCACCCAAAGAGAGGATTTAGGGGGTTTTTGTGGGGGTTTTTGTTCTCCGTGTTTTTTGAATGGCTCCGTGTTTAGTGTGTGGTGTGTTTTTCTTTTTCTCCTGCAAAGATTGTGTGTCAGGCTGTGGGGTGTGTGTTTTTATTTTTTTAGTGGGGGGTGGTTTAGTTTTTGAAAGCAGCGTCCTGTTGGGAAAGGTGGTTAGTCTGGTTTCGGGGCGACTGTCTCAAGGTAAAGGAATTTAATTTATTTGGGACAAGGCTGTGTCGGATGATCAAGCTGCTTATTATGGCTAATGAGTATTTTTCACCTGAGAATCCGTGGGATGAGGCTGCTGTTATCAGTTCAAAGTGAGGGGCCCAGGACTCTCTCCCATCCCCCTTTTGAGCTCCCCCCCAGGGGATACACCAGGCAAACTACTAAATTTGGACTCTGGGTTTTGGGGGGCCTAGTATGGCACCTAGGCTAGGGTTCCAGATAGCCTGATGCTGGCTTGGAGCAGTTTATCCTGATATGTTGGTGTTTTTTTCAGTTTTAATTTAATTTTTTTCAATATTTTGCTTCTCTTCCCATCTGGGGTTCCTGAGGGGGCACCTGAGGCCAGAGTGAGGTTTACCATAGGCTCTCAATTAGCCCTCTTTGTTGAAACCACATTGTGACCAGGACCCTCAGATCCTAGCCTAACAAAAGCCACCGTTGTCTTCTTAAACGTTTTTGAAAGAAGTCCGTAAGAAATAGGCTTATCATTCATTGAGGTTGATCTCTGAACCCTTGTGTCTCATTTATAGAAGGAGAGGTGGCAGTTGGGTTGTTGTTTATAATGGGCTCAAGTTCATGGCATTGCCCCTTGGGACCCATGAGCTGACATTTGACCTTCTGAGGTCAAAGGGGAGTAGGCGGAGAGAACAGGAAGGAGGCAGCACTGTGGGGCCCAGGGTGGGTGACATGGTGGTCAGCTTTGGGAAGTGGGTGTGTGTTTTGTGGGGAGGGAGATGTCTCAGAGTTTTGTGACAGTGTCCAACCAGGTGCGATCTCGGGTCTGTGGAGGGCCTCAGGACCTCTGTGCCCAGGGAAGGTGTGACACCCCCTGCTGGGCAAATCAGTGAAGGTATCTAAGGCCAGTGCTGCCACCCTGCCCCTCCCTGGCCTCCACACCCCAGAGAGGCAGTCCACCCCCACTCTAATCAGGTGTCTCATCACCTCCTTCCCTCGGGCCCCACCCCCTTTCTTCAGAAAAAGGGCCCCCACCCAACCAGCCAAGAAGCAGTCTTACAGATGGGCCTCTGCTTGTGGGCGGGCACAGTGGACCTGGGCATTACTCAGCTGGAAGGTGGACCCTCCTTGTCTTCCTCCCTCTAACTTGGCTGCCAGCTAGAGCGGACGTCCATCCTCCTGCCGTTACCCCAAACAGTGCCTCCCAGTCTGCTGTGAGCGCATGACTCCGAAGCCCTTCTGGAAGGTGTCCCCGACTGGAGAGAGAGCCTACCGGGCCTGCATGTGCAGAACCTCTTAGAGCATCTCTCCTGGGCCTTAGGGAGACTGACTTCTCCCAGCGCTCCAGGCATAGGCTCTGGAAACTTTTCCTAGAACCTGGAAGAGCCACTGAGATGGACTGCTACGTTCTCTAGCTGGAGCAGGGCTCTCCCCAGCAGGACCCAGACCTGTATCTGGCCACTCAGTGAGGGGAGGTTTGGGTGTCAGAGTTCTGACTGCTTCCTGGAGGAGTCATCTGGTGAGACCATCTCAGCCTTTTCTTTGAATTTGGAAGTTTCACTTAATTTCAGAACTTCAGAAGAAAAACATTTTTTTTCTCTCTCTTCACAAAAAAAGGGAAGCAGGTGGGAACTCTGAGATCCCCCTCAGAGCCCATCTCTGGCGTGACTCCGTGCTCACCTTCCCTCAAGATCTGGAAGGTACTTCTGGACCCAGCCATGGCCCGTGGTTTCACTACTGGCCAGGGTTCATTGCTGGGACTGTGAGGGGCTCTCTTCTTTGGGGGGACCCTGGACAGCTTCTACCGAGAGCGTCTGTAGCACAGGACAAGACTGGAGGCACAGGCTCCAAAGAGGTTGCTGGCACCAGGGACCCTACAAGCATTGGATTACGGGTTAATATCCTGTCCTGCCTCGGACAGGTCCAGGTCCTAAAGCATTCCGTTCAGAAGCCATTCAGTGGTGGCAGAACCTAGGCTTCTCAGGAGGGGACAACAGGACCTCAGGACCCTAAGGGGCCATGTGGACCCCTATTCCCCCACCATAGTTCAGCCAAGGGCTGGATCAATCTGGACGTCTTTAGCAATAAAAAATGCCGATGTCGTCCTAATTCACCAGGCCCCGAGATGACAGCAAATTTACATTTTTTAATTAAACTAGCAGCCAGTTTTTATGAGAGGGGGTTGGGTTATGCAAATCAAATGGTTGTGTACGGAAGATTAGGAGAGTTTGGGAATAAATTCCACAAATGCTAATAAAAAAAAAAAGGAAAGGGAAAGAGAGGAGGGAGGGAGGAGAGAGAGGAAGAGAGGAGGACATAGTTCCATTAGGCCCTTTTAGAGTGATTTCCCTGGGGGAGGGAGCCGGGCAGGGGAAGGGAGAGGGGGAGGGAGCTTTCAGACACAGGTAAATCCATCCTGCAGTTGGGAAGCTCCCCAGGGTTAGGCCCCACTAGGCTGATGACTCGGCCCCAACAAGACTGGAGGCAGGGGCACAAGGGCCGTGAAGCAACAGTGAAGCTTTGGGAAGGACTTTGCCCTTGATTCTCAGGGTCTGCTTGTAAGTGCCTGTACTCTGCCCAGGGAGAGCATGAGAAGAAGAGAGGCTGTCCAGGGCTAGAGCTGTATGTCAGGATCCAATCTAGGCCCTGCCAGGTCAAGGGCCAAAGAGGCAAGAGAGTGAGTTCAAGGGGATGGCCACAGATGGAGGGCCAGAGAGGGGTGGCACTGTCCACTTGGTAGTCTTGGGGTCAAGGTGAGGTCAGTGGGAGGAATTGGGGCTGCTCGCTGAGCCAGGCCTGCTTCTTTTTCCCTCGGATAAGCTCTGCTGGAACTCTGGGCCAGGACAGCCCTACCCCCACCCAACCCCCACGATTGCCTCCCAGCCCCAGCCTCAGCGGTGGAGGAAGCCTGAGCAGGTTGTCCTCAATTTTCCTTCCTCAAGCCTTTACTTGGCCAGATACACCCACTCGACCAGTCTAAGCTGGGGCCAGGCCCTGCAGTCAGGCTGTGCACCGGTTCTGCCAGTCTGCCGCAAGGGGTGGGTGCCATCTTGGCAGGAAGGAGCAGTCAGAGCCAAGGACAGAATGGGCTGACTCGGAAGTAGTGAGTTTCCTGGTACCATTCAGACAGAGGCTGGCTGTGACGTGTGCGGGGACTGGAGCATCAGATGACCTTTAAGGTCTCTGGCTCTCCAGCTCCCAGCTGGATCTTACTGGGAAGCTTCAGTGGGGGCAGTTCATGGCTCAGGGGAGTGGGGGGTGGTTGAGGGGATGGGGTGAGAAGCACATGGTTTGGGTCTTCTCTTTGGAAGAAGGCATTTGAGACCCGGGGCTCTGGACTGCCGGGTGGCCCTCGCACCAGCCCCAGTCCTGGTTGTGAGACGTCAGAGCAGAACACAGGATAAAAGCCCTGGCATAACCGTTCTTACAACAGGAGGCAGAGGCAGCAAGGGCAGATAGATCTGGAAGGATCCCTAGAAGGGCCCCACCCTGGGCCGTTTATTCCTGTAGGGACCAGCCAGGAGAACCCATTAACTCTCCTCTCCGAAAAGGGCACTGGGGCCACTTAGCCAGACCTCTTTGCCGCCTCGCCATCGCTGCCACTGTTTGCCCATCCCCCATGGCCAGGGAATCTGGCTGAGTTGCAGCTTGGGTTTTTATGATGGAAAAATAAAATAAATGGAGACACCTTTGGAGGGCTGAGTCACGCAGCAGCATCTCCTCATTAAAGCTGCTGCCCCTGGCTCAAGTCCCTGGGCTGGGGATCGGGTGGGGCCCGGGAAGATTCTGGGCGCCAGCTCCTCCGCCTGGACCCTGCCAGGTTAGGGGTGCGCCTGCCCCCCCATCAGCCTCCTCTGGCAGGCCAGCCATGCTTAGAGGGGTCGGGCCGTTTCTCCTCCCTACCCCCAACCCAGGGCCCCCAGCCTTGTCCTTCACCGCTGCCCTCTCTGAGCTGGTTTTCAAACCTTGACCGCCCTGGTGGGGGACGCATCTCCTTCTCATCTTTGGGGTTGGGGAGGGCAGTGGTGGAGGAAGTTGCTCTCTAGTATTTCCAGCCTGTGGGTCCCCCAAGGCAAGCAGCAGCTGTCCCGGGGTCCCTGGACCAGGGTACGGCAGGAGGAGTAAGGAGCAGGGGAGGAGGAGAAGGCTGGCCAGCCCAGGGGCAGAGGACGGCCTGCATCCCTTGGACCGATTGGGAAAGGCAGGCACTTGGTCCAGCATTCACCTTCTGGCTTCCCGGTGGCATCCTCGGGGGTCATCGTCGCCCCCTGCGTTCATCAGCTCATAGTGTCCCCTGTCTGGAGGAGACCCCATGCAGGTGGTGAGGCTGGCTATTCAGAACGTGTTAGGATAGAACCTGCTAGAGTTGCCGTAGCAGCAAAGCCGCCTGGTCCTTCCCTGTCCTTCCCTGCCGTCTGGTGGAGGGAGACAGGTGTGTCCATCTGCCACCAGGGGCAGAGGAGCACAGGGCGGAGAGCCCCAGGAGCTCTGTGAAGGAGTGGCCTTTGAACTTGGTAAAGG